AAGGAAGGCTCGGTTAGGGGTATCCTGTGGCCGAATTTATGGCATCGTTTGCAGGCAACTCAGTTTCACCGAAGTTACCTGCAAACCGAGCCTAAGGACCTGGAATTTCCGTAGGAGCAAAGTGGAAAATGGCTGGAACCATCGCGAGGCCTGGACTTCGTCGTCCTCGCGAAGATTCCACAGGATTCCGTGAATCCGTCCTCGGAACACTTTTTCCGGACACAATGCACCCTGAATTAAGACAGCTGGCTAAGGGCGGAAGGTGAAGAGGCAGATTGATTTGGAAACTTAAACTATAAGACACCACACGCTCTGGTGATACACGCAACATCTTGTAATTCACACATAGTTATAATTACATTTATAAAATATATAGTATAAAACCACCTGGGTGTATTCTCGATATTCGTCCAAATTTTTACAGTCCACTTACATATTCGAAAAACTTCACTTTTCGTAAGTTCCAAGTCGACATTGCGTACAAATGAAGTAACATGTAATGCATTCTACGCAGCTAACACCTTATTGAAATACAAAGATTCATCGTACAATGAAGCAGCCACATTTTAACGAACTTTCAAAGGCCACGAAAAATGTTTGATGGAATTGAACCGTTGAAATAGAATTACGATCGTTCTAATTAACGTCACTGACACACACACATGTATACAGGGTGTCTCGGCCGATTTCGACATCTTGGTTTCCTCGCTGTTAATGCTCAAAGCGAGAGATGTTTCAGACGAAAGTGAAACTTCTCCACTCGTGAAAGAATTAACAACACCGGTGAATGCCCCCTTCGGCGCCGTTTAAATTTCATCCGAAATTACGAGAAAATCAAGATGTCGAAATCAGCTGAGACACTGTATATGATAAATTCCTCGATTTGAATGGATCAAACGTAACTCCAATTTTCCCGAAGAGGTTAAGGAAAATTGAACGGGAGAGAGAGAGAGAGTCTCTAGCACCGTTAAACAAAATCGAACTGAAAATCCATTGTTGCAAAGACAAAGCTACAGAAATGGTTGAAAAAACAACAAGAAGAAACCCACCCATTCAACGTTCAATTACAACTATAATTGACCGTATAGCCCCTGGTGTTTATTTTTCCCCCGAGCAGACAGGTATTTAATAAAAATCGCTTTCAAAGTGCCAGGCGGGGGGGAAGGGCCTCCCCTCTTTGTTTTGTAAGACGAGGAGAGAGCGGTTACGCTCGGCAGAGTGGTCCTTAATTACGGAAATAAAAGCGGACGAGGCGGCTTTGTTCGCCGCGGCATTCACGCGACGCGCGAAACTGAAGCGGCGGCGGCATTCAAAAGAACCCGCGAACCGCTTTTCGCTGCTCCCGCGTCCCTCTTCAGCCATTCGAGGGCCGTCGGTGACCATTTGACTCTTCCTGCGACAAACACACGCCCGCGTTTTCTTTATTTCCAGGCATTCGTACAAAACGTCTATTCACCGGCCGACTCTCTTTCGTGTATACAAAACAACGAGGAGAAGGAGAGGAAAAAGAACGTGAACTATATTCGCGGGTGTAAGAAGAGTCGATGAACGAGAGTGAAATTCGCGGAAATAGTGATCTCGTAAGTATCTTTGCCTCTGTCTGAGTAATTCTGAGAGGCGTCCAAAGAGGATTGTAAAGAGGTGTGTTTTGAATGGCGGGAAGTAAGGAGGGCGAAGGAAGAATTTTTTTTAGAGAGAAAATCAAGGATCGTCCAAGTGATGAAATTATTATTAGTCAATCGTCAATTGCCGGAAATATTCGTAAGCAGTTGTATGAAAAAGAAAGGATTGATTAAAATTGCAAAATCTTATCGTGAGATAGGGAACAGGTGATAGATAAAAGTGTTGACGTTTCATCATTTCTCTTTTCAGTTTGCTCCGTGAAATTCCTATTTTTGATTATTCGTACAACTAAATATAGCGTGACAAGGGAAATGAAGGATTCACCCAAGGGCTGCATGAAACTAATAAAAATTATATTTCTATAATAGATCGCTATACCATCGTACTGTGTGTAGTGTTCGTTTACATAAATAGCTTGATAATTCTTAAAACGAAAGCATCTCCGGAAAAGCTTCGAAAAGGAAAACGGCTAAATAATGATACAATCTACGATAAACAGCGACTTCTGACACCTCTAACCAACGTAATAATCCATACTATCTTAGTTTCGCTTACATCTATTCACAGTTAGAGAGACAGTTCAAGGATACATCCACAGTCCCCGTTGATCGACACAGAGAGACATAAATACATGTACATATATGCGCGACATATCGTCCTTAATCGATTCTTCTCTTAACCCCCGACGTGTGAAACAACCCGTTTACGCTCAACGATGATCCTGTTCGACCCCAGGATCAACTATCGCTCTGCGCTACGTCCAGTAATAGGGGCAATGAAACACCGGGTACATCATCGGGATCGGCACGTACTCGATCATACAAAAATTATTCCTCGGAACGAACTCCCTCGCCAGTGGATTCAACGGTGCTGTCAACGGAAGCGACGATACCAAGTTCAGATGACGTTCCAGTGTCTCTCTGTCGATCCCGTGAAGATCGGCGATCTCCAGGTATCTTCGCCACAAATTTCTGCATGATCCGATGGTCAAGAGCGCGACCGGATCACCGACAACAGCCACCAGACACTTTGCACGCGTGATCGCCGTGTTGAGAAGCCTTGGATTTGTCAAGAAGCCATAGTCCTTCACGTTCCTCTCCGCCGAATACCTGCAGCAATGCCTGGTGCGTACAGTACTGATGAACACCGCGGTGAACTGCTTTCCCTGCACGTTCAGCACCCGTTCGACCGAAACGTCCGAGAGTTTGCGCTTCCGCAGCTCCATTCGTATCCTCTGCACCTGCTCCGCGTAATAGGAGAGGACCCCGATCGATCCCTCGCCGTACGTGTCCCAACGATCAGTTGGCCAGTTGTTCCGCAAATCCTGCACGCGGTTCACCAGCTCGAACACCTCGTTCATGTGCGAGTAGCCAGTCGAATGGGCGTCCTGTTGGAGAAACGGCCGGTTATCTTGGTATCTACAGAGACTCTGCATGATGTGTGTGTGTGTGTATGTGTGTGTGATTAATCCTGGAGGGATGCTGAATGGATGAAGAACAGTGATTGTAGGACGATGGATGGTTGTGTCGTAAGCTGTTGGTGGAAAAGATGTGTTCCAAGGAGTAGAGTTTTACGTTGAGGAAGAAGAAGAAGCAACAGGTATTCGTTGCTGGATGAGGAAATATACGGTGTGGTGTGTAATTTCAACGAATCGTCATTCGCAACTTCATTCAACACAACAGTCATTCTTCTACGATCATTCTCTTCGTCATGAACGTACCTGCACTTCTTGGCCCTGAACAGCGTAAAAGGTCAAGGGCTTTAACACCGGATGTTTTACCAATCGATTGCTACTGGGTTTCACGACTCCGTCGTAAAACATTTCAGACGTGAACCTGATGATGTCCTCGTGGGCACGATAATTCTGATGCAGATGGATCCTGCACGGATGCGTCGGCGGATACATCCCGTAGATCCTCTCGAGTATACTGACACCTAAGCCTTGCTCGTTTGCCAAATCGCTGTAGACCTCTGGTGCAAGTTGCATTTGATCACCAGCTAGAACCAGGCGAGTGTGTCTAGTAGCGAGAGCCAGTGGTATGAGAACCTCGCATTCTAAGGTCTGAGCAGCCTCGTCGATCACGATGTGCGTGAACGAGAGGTTCAAATAGGTGAAAGAGCTACAGGTGGCTAATGTAGTGATGATCAGACCACAGTCTCGAAAGTCTTCCTCGGTTGGATCGCGGAAAGTGCCGTTATCCTTCATGAGACTGTACTCCTGGACCACTGGGTGTACCTGAAACGGTGGAATCAGAGCAAAGGGAACGTTCGAATCGGATGGACGATGAATTCTTGCATCTTCCTGAGTAGACGTACCGTGTTCTTCGCTCTACCTTTGTAGTAGACCCTGATAGGCTTCAACCGTGGACACTTCTCGGTTTTATACCATACGTCGAAGAAATTCTTCACGTACAGATCTGCCGCACTGTTGCTGTGCGTGCAAAGTAAGATTTTCGATTCTGGACCCCTGGTCAGCAAGATACGAAGAGCTTGCGCTATAGTGAACGTTTTGCCCGTTCCAAAAGGACCAAGCAGTAAAATTGGTGGCATAGGAATCTCCATGGGAGCTGTTATAATTGCCAGAGCCTTTTTCTGCTCCAAGTTCAGCAGAGAATACTTGGCGTTAATCGCGTCCATCAGAGTAAAAATGCTGCTATCGTCCATGTTTGCGTACATTTTATTGAGAAAGACTAGCTCCACGTCTGGCAGACTGTCCACGGCCTTGTGCCACTCGCAAGAGGGCAAACGGTTCAGGAGGAACTGCACTTGCACCTGCAGATCCGTATTCGCCGTCAAGTTTAACGTGTCGACGCACTCTTTCGATAGCCTAACGTATACGGTTTGCGTGCATTTATCCTCTATGTGCGCCTCGAATATTCGATTCGATTTCTGTGCTAGACTCTTGAAGAGTACTTTATTGCAACCCCTCAGGAACAGTCTACCGCTTTTCGTATCTTCCGAGATACTGCGGCTTAACGGCAGCTGTGGTAAAAATTTGAGCATACAATTTTGTAGGAATTTAAGGTGTGGATAGTAGATAGTATTAAGTGAAAAGTTATGTGTATATTATTTGCGAGACTAGCGCTAATTGTACAATTATTCTTGAAAATAGCAGCAAAGGAGTGCAGGAAGAAGTAGAAGTAGAAGTAGAAGAAGATAGATGTAGTATAACTGCTAAAAGGAATCGCACCTGAGCAAAGAGCTCACCAGGTGGTGCATATTTAGCAACGGTGGATGCATCACCCGCAGAAGCCAAAACATAGTTACTAAGAAGACGCATATAAGAGATTTCATTGTATCTGGCTATCTGTTCGTGTCTAGCTAGCTCTTCCACGGTGATCAATTCGTGAAGACGACCTCTGTAATTTTGTGGTGTTAAATGATCGTCTGTGAGAGATTCTTGAGTCAAGAAGAAGTTGCTTCTGTCTGGATACGGATATATCATAGACAACTTGTCTTCCATCGGATCCTTGGGTGCTACAAAAGGTGATTTGAACCAGCTAATCGACGTTGTCTCGTTGTTCCATGTTTTTGGATTCTGAGAGAACTGATAATTTGTCGCTTCGTGAATCCTGCAGAAGTCTTCCATCGGTACACAATCCATACAGATCCTCTGGAGCAACACAGGATACTCTCCAAAATAGAAAATTACATTTTGACGATAAGTGCCGTATCCATTAGCGACAAAGTCAATTCTAACAAAATAATGCATTTCTTTGTTCCCTTTTCCATTTTTCTTCGGTGCTTTCAAGCCTGTCCCATTGATCCATTCCTGACCGTCCGTGATTCCAATCTCACTGGTATTGTTCAGAACAGATCTCAACTCAAAATTCCTGCGGTTCTGATCCAAGGTTAGTGCTATTCTTCGCAATTGTTTACCTAAATGAACCCAACAATGCCTTTGACATCCACTGTACCATATATTCAAATATCTAAACACTATACCTCACACTGCATAAACAAGTTACAAACGGACAATGAAAAGCGACAAGTACTCTAAAACGACGTCTCAGAATCCCGTTATAATTACTCTAATATAATGAACAAGACGTGAATCAGCCTCGCGATCAACGACGAGCGACATCCTGTCAACGTCACGGATGTAAACACGGTCAGAAAACAATGGCACTTACCGCGCGCCAGAATCTGAAAGTTCCAACTGAAAATGGCATTGCGATTGGACGATCGACAGCAGAGGTCTTTATTCAGGAAAATCGACACGTCGCCAGTTTGTTTGCACGTGACAACCTTCTCGGGATCCTTCGATTTAATATAGTCACGGTGCACCTTCTCCACGAAAAGTGGAAAAAACGAAGACTTAACCTCTCCGTTAATTTGAAACGCGTGATCCACCATGTTGATTCGCGGATGGATTATCCCGCACGATCCCGATGATTCAAACACTCGTGGCTACATCATACCACGTCCGCGCGGTTTTTTTTCACGTATTTGTAACGCCGGATACGAACATTTCACCACGCATCCTCGATCTGCGCAGCCGCCAACTCGGCGTTGTCGAAACGCATTCAGCGCCATCTCGCGTTTCCCGCTGCTACGTAACGAGATGGTCGCAATTTTATCGACGATCAAGAGTAGCAGCACGTCGAAACAGATATTTCCAATTGTTTACAACTGTACAAATTCATAATTACACCATTTTATTACATAACAATCACACAGAACAGAAGTTCAGTTTCGATCTTTCACACCGGAAGACTGTACAAACAATCAGCTAAGAATAATCTAGTACAAACAATTCTTCCGCAGAGCCCATATACCCAAGCTAAAAATACAATCACCTCGAACCAACC